CATAACATACCAATTAGTGCAGGTGTTTGATAAGTAAATGAATCTGGATCTTCTTTACCCTCACATGTTTTGTATAATCTTAGACAATTAAGTAATTTACAAAAGAGCATTTCATTCAAAATACCTTAGGATGTCGTCTTAAGAAATCAACCGCTTCCTCATAATAGTCCAGATGGATCTCTTTGACGTTTGCCGGCTTATCATTGTACACACCTACTGTCAGAACCACAAAGCCTTTGTTGGACAGCAGACTGGCTCTTTTCTCAGAAATTAATGTGCCGATATCAACACAGCAGGGAACGGACCTTTTCCTGGACAATGAGATGTAAGAGTTAAAAGTGTAATGGCTCAGCATGAAGGCAAACTCCAACTTCCACCGACAAGGTAGGATGTGAAGACAGGGAGACTGAGGCCAAGTTTACATTGTTTAAAGCACAGACAAGAGTTATACCAGGCCAGAGCCGAAGACAGTCAGATCAGACAAACAAATAAGAATAATGTGAAGAGCACGTGATGTGATGCAAAGCTGGAATATCTGACACAATCTGGTAAAAATACAGTTCATACAGACTTCTGAAACAATTTATTACATTTAATTTAGCAGATAACAATCAGGCTCCCTTGAGGTTTACCTGAATCTAAGCTTGACTTCAGCTATAGCTATATTTTGAAATGTGATTGTCCTTGCAGCAAAAAAATTCATTCAACTCACTGAAGTTATTATTATACATCACACTCACATAGCTTATGTGTGATTCCAGTAACATTTTACAATAGAAAGGTACACATCCTTTGCATAGTTACAAGGAAACTAATGAGTACTACTAGTTAATTATTAGTAAATGGGGATATAATGAGTTACTTTACATGGAATTGATCTATAGTGTAGCTTTTTATTACTTAATAGAGAATGAAATGAGGCATCATACTGGGTAGTTACTCAGTACTGAATCTTTGCCCTTCATGTCTTGGTATTGAACATCTGAAGGAGGGTCTGTGCATGAACTGCAGCTTCATGCCTCACACATTGAGTGCTGCTAGGCTGGCAGATGTGGAATCCCTGGCTAGTAATGTCGGCCTCTCTTGATCAGAGGTACTGGCTCCAGCCCAACCAGTGCAGTCTAGACGATGAGCGTCTGAGACTGTAGGTGCTCCCCCCAGGAAGAAGGCAAAGTCTGTCAAACTGTCTTCTAAGGTGGATCAGTTGACAAACGAATTGGCTCAGATGAAGTCCATCCTCTCTCCACCCTAGTGTCTGCACAGTGTGCTAGCTTACACACTCTGCCTATGCCCGAGCTGGTCCCAGTGGAGTACATCATGTCAGTGGCAGCTTCAGCTGCTCTCTTCAATGAGTAGAGTGAGGTTGGGCCCTCCCATACTTAGGAACCAAGCTCCCGCTCTTTAGCCCATAGTTCTATGGATGGGTCTGAGGACCATTGGATCAGTTATTCGTATGGCGCTGGCCAAACTACAGCTAGACATAAGGCACGCAGCAGCACCTGCCAGCTTCTCTGTTCCTCCCTCAGAGGAATACTTGAAGGAGCTGCATGCCTGCTGGAGGGACACAAAGGCTACCTCGCACCTAACATTCGATGGCCATTTGGTCTGGGCCGTATTCGTAATTCCTCTCCCACCTCATGCTGGCCATGTAAGCTGCCCTGCAGCAGACCGGTGGTGGACGCGTCTGAGTGACGCTTCAATGCAGGCTTTTTGCCCTCATGTCACGGAACATGGGTGTTTGATATCTCTGGTCCACACGGGACGTCAGGTGTGGCTTACTCAGACGCCTTTGTCAGAGACATGTCTGAGGACCCTCCATACTGTCCCTGTGGAGCCTGAGGACCTGTTAAGCTCAGCCGCTGTACAGGTACTGGAGCAGACAGTCGAAGCTGATAAGACCAGGCGGCAGTTCTCGGGTCTTTGCATCGGCATGCCAACCCCTAGCAGGCCAATCTTGGAATCCTTGAGACGTGAGAAGACTCACGTTTAAGTGAGGGACTAGAGAGAAGAAAAAGAACAGCCTGTACTCACTGCTTATTTGGATGTCACATAAGGGTTTTTATATCATAGTCATTCCATGGAAATGAACATGCAACGTGCTGCTATGAGCTAACAAAAGAGCGCGACCATTAGCCTGCTAACACACAGTGCTGCTCAAGACAAGGACAATTTTTTCCGCCGCTTGGGCCTGGGGCTTAATTATAGTGGGCTCCAATTTGATAACTCCTTTGTGCAAATGCGAGGGGAGAGGGGTTGGAGGTGTGTCGCTGAAAGTGGAGGATTCAGTGTGTTGGAGGTGTCTCCATGCTGGTGCTCAAGGGTGACATCTACTGGATCAAAAAGTCACACATTCTTATGAGGCCCAATGTTTGCACTCAGATAATAACTTTTCAATAACTATTTAACCACCTACCTGGGGGAGTAAACAGGACTCCCCGAATGTTCCCCTCTTTAACAGGGATCCTGCTGACCCCGTCTCCAATCAGAAGTCTCTCATTGGTCGCCTCTGCTAACATCCTGCCCTCTCCTTCTTCTTCATGCACAGAAAACCTCACCACATGGGGATTAAGAGAATTCGTTTTTTGAAACCTTTTGTGCAAAATATCTGGCTTCATGGACCACAGCAGACCCATGGGCTCCACCCCGATGTAGCTCCCGCTGAGTGAGGGGTCTTTATCCACGTCGATCTCTCCATTTCCATCAGCTCTATAGGTCGCCAAGGAGCTGAAGACCATCCCCCTCTCGTCAGTGGATCTGGCTCTCACGGTGACCACCTGTCTGGACCTCAGCCCGGCCACCTTCACCTGAACGGGCTCATCGAACAAACACCTGGCGCTTGGCAGCAGCTTCAGTCTGACCTGAGAGGACATCTTTTCTTTATGTGAAGATTTCAGACTTCAATCTGTATGAAAGGAAATAAACAGAACACACACATCATATCATTTTAAAACAAAAACAATTCTCAATCAAGCATCGAGGTGTCACCTTGTGGAAATAATATTCTAATCTTATTGATCCATCTATGTTGTTGATTGTGTACAAAAAACTTGCAATAGAGACTCTTTGATTTATTGTTTGTCAAAGTTTTTTGCTTGATTCTTTTTAACTTTCTTTTCTTTGCTTGTCAATATTAATTTCCTGCACTTTATGTGATGTCTGATAGTTACTTTTATTGTCCTTTTACATGTCTACTGAGTGGGAGTTTCATAAAAAGCCATTTGTACAGTAAGCTTCTCCTGCACCCACACATGTGCTTTTATATTTTCTTTATGTTCCTAAGCCAGGTATTCCTGAATCCTGTGTGTGAATCAATCAATCAATAACCTAACAGTTGTGGAGTGAATATCCAGGCAGTCAAAGTTAAATATTTTCTGTTTCTCCCTCTTAACCATCTGAAGAGCAGCTGTGCGTAAGACTGTACACTCTATTGAAAACAGTCATGTTACAAGCACTTAAAAGCATCTCCTTCTCATGTTTCAATTATTTTTGTTCAATCTGTGAGGTTAAAACTTTTTTTTATAGCTTGTGTTAATTTATTTGCACATCCCAGTTTTGCAATTCTGGATTCTAGATGTCAAAATGAAAGCATTAAAGTTTCCAACTTCTTATTAAGACTTTGTAATGTGATCATGCAGTCTGTGATCCGGGTCTACTATAGGCTACTTACTAACACTGATTGCATTAATTGGGTCGTTTAAATTACGTGGATGCATTGATTTCGTCCAAATTATTTACCTGTCAGCGAGCTGACGCGGAGTGATCTGTTAGTGTCAGATCAGGTGAAGTTTCACTTTTTTCTAGTTGTGTCGCTCACCTGTGTGCAGCATGACAGTTCTGCTGAGGTGAATGTTTTTGTGTCCAAGTTGAAAATTAATCCAAATGTAATCTTTATGTCAAGAGTTCAGCTGGCTTTGTTTTCCTTTCGCGCAAAGCTGCAAACTTATGTGACTTAAATGTTCGACAGTGAAAAGGAGAGGACGACTGCAAGAAGCCCTTAATTCTTTTTTTATATATGATTGGTCAATAGCTTTCAGATACACTACCGCCACCTGCTGATCTGGAGGATGAACTTCAAACTGTTTACTTTGTAAGAAAACTGATAAACTAAAATAGAGCAAATAATTATTATAATTTAAAAAAAGAAAACAAGAGGCAGAATAGTACGGTGGTCCTGAGGGGTCAACTGCATAAATATTTCATGATGATGAAAAAACGTCCAAACATTTAACTTGCTGCAAAAAATATTTCAACTTCTGTAAAAAAAATAATACGCAGGCTAATGAAAATGCTTCTTCATTCGACTCTACAGAATAATGAGGACACTGTACTGTATAAAGTATAAACTTCACGTGCTTTGTCATCACACATCTGTCCACAGAAACAAGATGTATGTTTTCAAACGCATCTTCAAGACGCATGCCATTTTTGGTAGGGATACATTTCTCTGCATAACACCGGCTCTTTCGGCTCTTCATTTGGTACCAGTTTTGGCTTTATTATATCGAACAAATTTAGCAATGACAGCAGCATCTTACTCCGCCATTATATGTAGATTAATAGAATAGTACTTAAGGTAACTGTATAGCCTGCAAGTCCCAGAGTGTAAAAGTTGCAGGTAAAAATGTAAATGAATAAGTGACCACGATAAGAATGGTATTTGAAAGAACACCAGTTAGATGCGTAGATCTGAAGCTGAATCAAATAAGATATCTTGAGCAAAATGAAACTTAACCATTGTAACTAATTTGATAACACAACATGAAGTGATCGCAGGAAACAATAAATAGTCAGCTTCTCCAGGCGGATACAACACATTTATTTATCCGCAAGAAACATATGTGACTTTAAGCAAAACAAAATGCTCCAAGATGCGGTTTTGTCACTTAATGAAAAAGTCAAATTGGGACCAGGGTTCAGACTTCATCTATCAGAGCTTCAGTAATCACACCTTTCTGTGCAATATAAAACAAATGTGAAGCTCTTAGTGAACCTTTCCCGCATAATGTTGTGATATGTAATGACCTTTTCATACATGATCTAATCAAAAAACTATTCAATTTTAAACCGTTTCTTTAAAAAACAGTTATGTAAATTATTTGATCCTCTGTTTCTGTATCTATAAGTTTGCTCTAGTCTCTGTAACGTCACAGCTCACATTAGCTCTGAAGAACTCCTGGATCTTCTTCCACAGGTGGACTTCAGCTGCTGCATGGGACCTGGGCTCACCCCCCCATAGGACTGGTTTACCCGCAAGGCTGTGAAAACTGGAGGGGCAGTACGGGCCATAAGGCGGCTCCAGGTAGTGCCCCGCTCGAGGGTAACACATGCTCTCAAAGTTGTCCTTCCCATGATGCTTCAGCCTCTCCACCATCTCCTCTGTGTAAGTCTTACTGTCCCAGTTCAAGTCGTCCTCTGACACCACAAAGAGGAAACGTCCCTTTGCTTTTTCGATGGGGATCAAGGTGGCCTTGTTCTCCTCCAGCAGTGGATCATTAGTAACATACTTGATATTGTAGGCTCCTGATTCAGAGGGAATCATCCTGCTTACGTCAAACATTAACGCAGGAAGTATCTGGCTCTTCTTGTAGTAAAGAGGTAACGCTGTGTTGGCAGAGCAGCCGTTGATCCACACTGTGGCTTCAACACCAGGCAGGTAAGAAGCTACTGAAAGTGCAAGGTCTCCACTCTTTGAAAGTGATATCATACCGACTCCTTTACTGCCCACCTGTGGAAAAAAGAACAGACTTTTAGCTGCTTATTGCTTCTTAAAGATTTGTTATTTTGGGAATGTTGTTGTGAGTTTATTGTAGAGATAGGACAGTGGATAGAGTTGGAAATCATGGAGAGAAAGAGAGTGGAGAATGACAAGCGGGGAAAGGAACTTGGCTTTTCTGGATAACTCTTGGAGTTTAGAAAATGAAAATGTGTCCCAAAAAGTGATTGGACTGTATTTTTCAAAAGCCCTCACCTTATTCTGCCTTTTCAAAAACTCTACTGATTCTTCAAAGTAATCCAGATGGACCTCCTTGATGTTCTTGGGCATGTCGTCGTGGCCGTACAGCGCCACAGTCAGAACAACAAATCCTCGACTAGCCAGCAGAGAGGCTCTCTTCTCTGACAAACCTCCACCAAAAGTGTACAGATCCAACACAGCGGGGAATGGACCGGCTCCTGGACCAGAAGACACAAGTTAAAAAAGTTTGTAACTTATATTTGATCCAAATGACTTTAAATACAGTCATGTGTTAAGATATGTTCACCAAGAATCAGAATGTTATGACCCCAGTGACCGGTGGATAGTTTGGTTCAGCGGTGACTTTGAAAAGCGTTTAAAATAAAAACATACACAATTACATAAATGACCGAAGGTGAGATTGTTGTAGTACTCGAAACTAGAGACCACTTTTTTCAAGGTCTCCGTCTCGTCTCGGAATCTAAATAATTTTTACCCGGTCTGGTCTCGGTCTCAGACGAGGTGGACTCGCCCCTTTCTAGAAGAACAAATAATTTCAATTCATTCATAGTTAGATTTTTATTCCATGCTTACGGCCACAACCTTCCCGGTGTTACGGTTAGTGACTCGCCTGCTGCACACAAGATGATGATTTTTTATTGATATTTATGGTCTTGTCCCGGTCTCGCCCTGCCTTGGTCTTGGTCTTGGTCTTGGTCTTGGTCTTGGTCTTGGTTTTGGTCTCGGTCTCGGTCTCGGTCTCGGTCTTGACTCAGTCTCAGTCCCTAATGTCTTGGTCTTGGTCTTGGTCTTGACTCAGTCACAATCCCTAATGTCTTGGTCTTGGTCTTAATCTTAGTCTTGGTCTTGGTCTTGCTCTTGGTCTTGGTCTTGGTCTTGGTCTTGGTCGTGGTCTTGGTCTTGGTCTTGGTCTTGGTCTTGACTCAGTCGCAATCCCTAATGTCTTGGTCTTGGTCTTGGTCTTGGTCTTGGTCTTGGTCTTGGTCTTGACTCAGTCTCAATCCCTAATTTCTTGGTCTTGGTCTTGGTCTTTGTCTTGGTCTTGGTCTTGACTCAGTCGCAATCCCTAATGTCGTGGTCTTGGTCTTGGTCTCGGTCTAGTCTCAGTCTCAGTCTCAGTCTCAATCCCTAATTTCTTGGTCTTGGTCTTGGTCTTGGTCTTGACTCAGTCTCAATTCCTAATGTTTTGGTTTGGTCTTGGTCTTGGTCTTGGTCTCGGATCACTCTGGTCTTGGTCTTGGTCTTAGTCTTGGTCTTGGTCTTGGTCTTGGTCTTAGTCTTGGTCTTGGTCTTGACTCAGTCGCAATCCCTAATGTCTTGGTCTTGGTCTTGGTCTTGGTCTTGGTCTTGGTCTTGGTCTTGACTCAGTCTCAATCCTAATGTTTTGGTCTTGGTCTTGGTCTTGGTCTTGGTCTTGGTCTCGGTCTCGGTCTCGGATCACTCTGGTCTTGGTCTTGGTCTTGGTCTTGGTCTTGGTCTTGGTCTTGACTCAGTCTCAATTCCTAATGTTTTGGTTTGGTCTTGGTCTTGTTCTTGGTCTTGGTCTTGGTCTTGGTCTTGGTCTTGACTCAGTCTCAATTCCTAATGTTTTGGTCTTGGTCTTGGTCTTGGTCTTGGTCTTGGTCTTGGTCTTGGTCTTGGTCTTGGTCTTGGTCTCGGATCACTCTGGTCTTGGTCTTGGTCTTGGTCTTGGTCTTGGTCTTGGTCTCGGATCACTCTGGTCTTGGTCTTGGTCTTGGTCTTGGTCTGGTCTCGGTCTCAGATCACTCTGGTCTTGGTCTTGGTCTTGGTCTTGCTCACACTGCATGACTCTTCATCCAGGCCTTGAGCCTGTCTGCCTGAACCCCTACTCCCTTATATGTACTCCTTTAAATGCAACTGTCCAAACCAACAGGGCTCGAGGAACTAGTAATCTGCATAGTTTGCACAGTTTATGTTTGAAATTTTTCACACGTTACAAACTAAAAGCTGTGTCCCATACCAGCCCGGGAACACAGATTAAAGCACTTCTGTGTGCGAACCGGACCGAAAGCCCTGTACCTAAACGGTCCAGTCCGAGTACGTGTACCTTTACACCCCTAGTATTTACAGATTGATTTTGGTTTAAAAAGAGCTCAGGGCCCATCTCAAATATAAACAGGGATTCGGTGGGCTACAGTGTGATTTTGTGAATGTGAATTCTTGGGTTAAGTTAATACTGATGGACACTTTACATAGCAGCCTCAGTGTGTCAAAGGGTAACTGTGACAGAGCCGCTGCTGGTCAATAGGCAAGGCAGGCAACTGGCCAGTAAGCGGCCCCAGAAGGCTGACAAACTTTAAACCGCAGCAGCAGCTCAAAACGTGCAAATTTTGCAATGACAGTCGGAAAGAAACTCTTTAGTGGGCCCCATATGACATGAATTACTCTCATTACCCTTCTTAGCAGAATGAAAGTTACTGTAGCTAAATGGAGAGGAATTATTAAAGAAAGAGTAAAAGTGTTGATACACTGGCAGACGGTGGTCGGAGGGGCTCCCAATTTATTTTTGCCGAGGGCCCCAACAGACTCTAGAATCGCCACTGAGTGTAAAAACACTTTTAGTAGTCAGATTGCTCAAATCCATCGAAGCCATTTTCGAAACAGAATAATAAGTGTTAGTTGTCGTTATAGTAAGCAGCAAAAACTTCAGGGCACTGAAGTTGCGTGTTGTGACAAATTAAGGCAGGTCTCAATTAGACGCGGGCCCCATGCATTTAGTGTTGAAATAGTCTTCAAAAATGACGAGAAAAAGGAGCAAGACACAAAAAATAAAGACGAAGAGAGAGAAGAAAGTTCAGATGAAGTTTATTCTCCTACTTTTAGATTGGAGATCTGCATTCAGCACTATTTAACAGACCTTCTTCCTACATCTTTGCATCAGTTAGCCGTTATGTCACTACTCTAGTATTCATTTACAGCCATCTAATCAGGATTTGTTCCTGGGTAATTTCCATCATCCTTCTCTATAACTTGGCTTCATCTTGCGGAGCATCACATCTCAGGTGAGTCCTGAAGAACTCCTGAATCTTCTTCCACAGGTGGACTTCAGCTGCTGCATGGGACTTGGGCTCACCCCCCATTGGACTGGTTTACCCAATGCTGTGAAAACTGGAGGGGCAGTACGGGCAATAAGGCGGCTCCAGGTAGTGCCCTGCTCCGGAGTAACACCAACGCTCAAAGTTGTCCTTCCCATGATGCTTCAGTCTCTCCACCATCATGTCCATGTAAGTCTTACTGTCCCAGTTTAAGTCGTCCTCTGAAGCCACAAACAGAAAACGCCCCTTTGCTCTTTCGATGGGGACCAGACTGCCCTTGTTCTCCTCTGCCCGGGGATCATCAACAGTAAACTTCACAATGTAGGCGCCAGACTCGGTGCGAATCACCTTGTTAGTGTCAAACATTAAAGCTGAGAGGATCTTGTGCTTTTTGTAGAAAAGAGGAAAGGCAACATTGGCGCTGCAGCCGTTAATCCACACCACTGCTTCAACACCCGGCACAAAAGCAGCAAGTGAGAGAGCAATGTCTCCTCCCTTTGATTGTGATATTACACCAACTCCTTTACTGCCCACCTGAGGAGACAAACATGAAAATAAGGAGCGATGAAAATGTACACTCAAGGCAAAACATCTCATGCCCTCCATACACTAGAAGACTTGAAAAATCCACAACTAATGTCTGACATCTAAAAACAATGTTTCAGCAACTCAGAGTTTTAGACAGACTAAGATTTTGCAACGACAGGCATGCAGGGTCACTGAAAGACAACTATATTATCTTTTAAGATAACTTTGTGAAGGTGATAACATGGAACTTTGATGTATGGAGTGTCTCCTATGACGAACATTGAAAAGGTGTTAACATCTTCTCAGTAAGTGTGAGAGTGGACATGTGTAGGTGAGAGGGTAGGGAGAGGTAGGGAGTGGTATGAGAAAGTCCCCAGGAGAACTGCACGTTGCTCACCTCCCATCATTTTTTATGTCAGCAGGGAAATTGTAAAAGCCTTTCTTAATAGTTTGTTATTTTTTCAAACCAACCAATTTATTTGCGACTCCACCGTGAAAATAATCTTACATAAATTCATGACTAACAAAAATGAGGAGCATTTTTAATTGTATTATAGCTTAACATACAAAAATATCGAAAAGGCACGCACATCCAAGAAAGTTTAAGTACCGGATGCTGGACAAAAAACATCCAAAGATAGAAAAAGTCCACACACCAGAAGCTGCTCTAATTAAATTGAATGTAATGGATGAAGGGCGAGGGCCAGAAACGCAACATGTGATTTTTCCATTAAATTCAGTTTAATTGGAGCAGCTTCTGGTCTGCAGACTCAGTACTTTCTCTAATATAGCTTAACATGCCATCAGTTTTGTTATATTTTCCCAATTATATTCAAACACATATTATTACATAACATACCAATTAGTGCAGGTGTTTGATAAGTAAATGAATCTGGATCTTCTTTACCCTCACATGTTTTGTATAATCTTAGACAATTAAGTAATTTACAAAAGAGCATTTCATTCAAAATACCTTAGGATGTCGTCTTAAGAAATCAACCGCTTCCTCATAATAGTCCAGATGGATCTCTTTGACGTTTGCCGGCTTATCATTGTACACAGCTACTGTCAGAACCACAAAGCCTTTGTTGGACAGCAGACTGGCTCTTTTCTCAGAAATTAATGTGCCGATATCCAACACAGCAGGGAACGGACCTTTTCCTGGACAATGAGATGTAAGAGTTAAAAGTGTAATGGCTCAGCATGAAGGCAAACTCCAACTTCCACCGACAAGGTAGGATGTGAAGACAGGGAGACTGAGGCCAAGTTTACATTGTTTAAAGCACAGACAAGAGTTATACCAGGCCAGAGCCGAAGACAGTCAGATCAGACAAACAAATAAGAATAATGTGAAGAGCACGTGATGTGATGCAAAGCTGGAATATCTGACACAATCTGGTAAAAATACAGTTCATACAGACTTCTGAAACAATTTATTACATTTGATTTAGCAGATAACAATCAGGCTCCCTTGAGGTTTACCTGAATCTAAGCTTGACTTCAGCGATAGCTATATTTTGAAATGTGGTTGTCCTTGCAGCAAAAAAATTCATTCAACTCATTGAAGTTATTATTATACATCACACTCACATAGCTTATGTGTGATTCCAGTAACATTTTACAATAGAAAGGTACACATCCTTTGCATAGTTACAAGGAAACTAATGAGTACTACTAGTTAATTATTAGTAAATGGGGATATAATGAGTTACTTTACATGAAATTGATCTTTTTATTACTTAATAGAGAATGAAATGAGGCATCATACTGGGTAGTTACTCAGTACTGAATCTTTGCCCTTCATGTCTTGGTATTGAACATCTGAAGGAGGGTCTGTGCATGAACTGCAGCTTCATGCCTCGCACACATTGAGTGCTGCTAGGCTGGCAGATGTGGAATCCCTGGCTAGTAATGTCGGCCTCTCTTGATCAGAGGTACTGGCTCCAGCCCAACCAGTGCAGTCTAGACGATGAGC